CAGGGGTCAAATGTCGTAAAATCTTCAAGCGACTTCTTTTCAATAAGCAAAAGGGCCAGGGTACTGAAATTGGGCCTGTAGCATGCTGGGATGAAGGATTACCAAGTTAGTTCAAATGAATGACCTTGACCAACTTTCAAAGGTCAAAGGGGTCAAATGTCATAAAATCTTCAAACGACTTCTTCTCAATAACCAAAAGGCCCAGGGTACTGATATTGGGCCTGTAGCATGCTGGGATGAAGGGCTACCAAGTTTGTTTAAATGAATGACATTGACCCACTTTCAAGGTCACTGGGGTCAGATGTCTTAAAATCTTCAAACAACTTCTTCTCAATAACCAAAAGGCCCAGGGTACTGATATTGGGCCTGTAGCATGCTGGGATGAAGGACTATCAAGTTTGTTCAACTGAATGACCTTGACCAACTTTCAAGGTCACAGGGTCAAATGTCGTAAAATCTTCAAGCGACTTCTTTTCAATAAGCAAAAGGGCCAGGGTACTGAAATTGGGCCTGTAGCATGCTGGGATGAAGGACTACCATGTTAGTTCAAATGAATGACCTTGATCCACTTTCAACCTAATGTCCTTGTTCAACAATCAAGGTCAGAGGCGTCATATGTTTAAATCTTTTAATAGGTTCTTATGAAATCTTAAGATTACAAGTGTTAGATTAATAATAGGTGAGCGATGCAGGCCCATTCGGCCTCTTGTTATATGTGGCCAGAAGGTACCTGGGATGGAGTGCTTTAAAGTTTCCTCATTAAAATGACCTTGACCCACTTTCAAGGTCACAGGGTTCAAATATGTTCAAAAATTGAAACAACAATATCTTAAGAACCATTTGGACAAGAGTCATGATACTTGGGTACGTTATGTAGACTGTGAATATTTTTCTAAGTGACAGTAATGAGGTCAAAGGTAAACTTTAAGTGCTAGTCAGTGGTCAAATGTCAACATGGGTTAAACGCTTTAACAATCTTCTTCTCAAGTTCCATAAGGTCATGATATTTTACCAGTAGGTACCTGGGAAGCATTTGGTCTAGAGTCATGATACTTGGGTATGTTATGTAGACCAGAAGTGCAAATCTTTTTCTAAATTACAGTAATGAGGTCAAATGTCAACTTAAAGTGCTAGCCGGAGTCAAAGGTCAACGTGGGTTAAAAGCTTTAAAGTTGCAATTTCAAATTTCAAACAACAATAACTTTTTAAGAGATGTTAAAATGTCTTGTGTTCTAGTTAACAAATTTGGTCTGAAGTTACCTATATGTTAGTTTCATGTAAAAAAAGAAACAGGTGAGCGATACAGGCCCTCTGGGCTTCTTGTTGTATAAATAGTGGTCTGACCCCCATGGGGGCAGACTGGTGGGGCCCAATAGGGGAAACATAGCAAATTATTCACCTTGTCAGAAGGGCCAAGTAAGCTTATTATGTGGTGCCAAGTCCGGCGCCCTGCATCAATATTTTATTTTAAACATTTTCTTCTTAAGGTAATAGGATTGTGTCACCATTTCTCAGGAGAATAGGGTACTGATATTGGGCCTGTAGCATGATGAGATGAAGGGCTAGCAAGTTTGTTAATATGAATGACCTTGACCTGCTTTCAAGGTTACAGGGGTCAGATATTGTTAAATCTTCAAACGACTTCTATAAATGCTGAAATTGTGTAAAATTTATGCTCTATACACGATATAAAAATTGACATTTTATAATAAAACCATATACACATAGTAATTGCAGGCAAGAGTTATTGTTCTTGAAAAACTTCACAGTAGTGAAATAGGTAGCCGGTTTCCTGAAGTACAGGAAAATGGACACGTGTGACTCATTGATAAAAAAAAACCTGAATTAATACCTGGATTGCTTTGAAATACTTTAATAGTGAGAGAACACAATGTGCTGTCAATAATAAACATACAATATTCATCAGTTTAATATTAAACATTAGAATTTGCGGAAATTGTGATACTGTCTCCCGACATTGGATTTTCAACTAGGGATGTACTTCCTGTTTCCGTTTATCAATACAATCCAATGACCTTAAGGACTTTCTACCCTTCGTAATACACATGTTTTTCTTGTCGTTTTTTCGTGTTGTCATTTCCGTATTGCGTATCGGGCAATCCATTACAGTAGAATAAGTTATAGAAACACTGGGTAGACAATAGTACACGTGGGTGACGATGATATGTCAACATCCGATATCGGGACTTAACTTGGAAATGTGTAATCACACGTACTGTACTTCTAAAATAAAGCTTATGATAGAAAGACATTAATTAACTCACGGGAAGACACTGACATAAGATCAGACGACTTCAAGAAGGTCATATATGAAGCGTATGGAATGCAGACTGATGTGTTTTGTTTACCGACCCCACCTGTACGTATCACGTGCTACCAGTAGTTCAGAAGCCTTGGTCGCTACGACTTTTATTGTCGAGCGAGTGACACTCTGTCAGATAAATCGTTTCACAAATGCAATTACAACTAGAAATTGTTGGCTAACAATTTGACGGGCTTTTCACTGTAAGGACTGATTTGGCCTTATAGCTATTTACGAGTTACTTCCCTTACACCAGTAGTAAAAGTCCTTGTATCTTTGAAATTTGTTTCACAAAATTACATGTTCAAATTTGACCTATCCAATACCGGAAGTTGATCTTTGATGGTAATTTATGTCCATAAACCCTGTAGCCCATCATCCTAGCATGCTACAATACCCTGCGCATTTCCGTTATTGAGCAGGATTATTTTGAAGATTTTAACACATAATTGACCCCAGTGACCTTGAACATATGTGAAGGTCATTCATATTATCTAACTGGATAGTCCATTGCTTGAGCATGATATCCAACAAAAATCATGACCTTGGATCACTTGGTTATTGAGAAGAAGATTTTTGAAGTTGACGGAAGTTCATGAAACTCTGTATGCAGCCATATATCAATAAGATCCATGATGAGTTCGAAAATGGGAATTATTTGACAGTAACTTACAGAGTTATTGCCCTTTGTAATAATATTATTATTGGACCTTGTGAACACAATAACTTGAGTAAATGTTAACTGAGTTTCATGAAACTTTGTATGCAGCCATATGTCAATAAGATCTTGAATGAGTTCGAAAATGGGAATTATTCGACAGTAACTTACAGAGTTATTGCCCTTTGTAATAATATTATTATTGGACCTTGTGAACACGAGAACTTGAGTAAATGTTTACCGAGTTTAATGAAACTTTGTATGCAGCCATATATCAATAAGATCCTAGACGAGTTTGAAAATGGGAATTATTCGACGTTAACTTACAGAGTTATTGCTCTTTGTAATATTATTATTATTGGACCTTGTGAACACGATAACTTGAGTAAATGTTAACCGAGTTTGATGAAACTTTGTATGCAGCCATATATCAATAAGATCCCGGACTCTAAATGGGAATTATTCAACAGTAACTTACAGAGTTATTGCTCTTTGTAATAATTTTATTATTGGACATTGTGAACATGATAACTTAAGTAATTATCAACCAAGTCTGATGAAACTTTCAAGGTCCCAGGGGTCAAATTTCGTAAAATCTGCAAACAACTTCTTCTCAATAACCAAAAGGCCCACGGTGCTGATATTGGGCCTGTAGCATGCTGGGATGAAGGACTACCAAGTTTGTTCAAATAAATGACCTTGACCAACTTTCAATGAAAGATCACAGGGGTCAAATGTCATTAAATCTTCAAACGATCTTCTTTTCAATAACCAAAAGGCCCAGGGTACTGATATTGGGCCTGTAGCATGATGAGATGAAGGGCTAGCAAGTTTGTTAAAATGAATGACCTTGACCAGCTTTCAAGGTTACAGGGGTCAGATATTGTTAAATCTTCAAACGACTTCTCAATAACCAAAAGGCCCAGGGTACTGACATTGAACCTGTAGCATGATTGGATGAAGGACTACCAAGTTTGTTCAAATAAATGACCTCAACCAACTTTCAAGGTTACAGGGGTCAAATGTCGTAAAAATCTTCAAACAACTTCTCAATAACCAAAAGGCCCAGGGTACTGATATTGGGCCTGTAGCATGCTGGGATGAAGGACTACCAAGTTTGTTAAAATGAATGACCTTGACCATCTTTCAATGTCCCAGGGGTCAAATTTCGTAAAATCTTCAAACAACTTCTTCTCATAAACCAAAAGGCCCAGGGTACTGATATTGGGATTGTAGCATGATGGGATGAAGGACCATCAAGTTTGTTCAAATGAATGACCTTGACCCACTTTCTAGGTCAAAGGGGTCAAATATGTTAAATCTTCAAGCGACTTCTTCTCAATAACCAAAAGGCCCAGGGTACTGATCTTGGGCCTGTAGCATGATGGGATGAAGGGCTACTAAGTTTGTTCAAATGAATGCCCTTGACCCAATTTCAAGGTCACTGGGGTCAGATGTCTTAAAATCTTCAAACAACTTCTTCTCAATAACCAAAAGGGCCAGGGTACTGAAATTGGGTCTGTAGCTTGCTGGGATGAAGGGCTACCAAGTTTGTTCAAATGACCTACTTTCAAGGTATTTCACACGTAATGTCCTTGTTCGACATTTAAGGTCACAGGCGTCATGTTTAAATCTTAGGTTCTTATGAATCAAACACTGATATTCTGCCTGTAGCTGTTACTTCTAGTCCACTTTTACCATTACAAATGTGAGATTAATACCAGGTGAGCGATGTAGGCCCCTTGGGCCTCTTGTTTTATATATAGTTATGTTGAATATTGTATATTATTATACAATAACTTTTGTTATAGTGGCAAATAACATATGACATTACAAGGTTTAAGTTAATGTACAAGATTCCTATTTATGATTTCCAACATGAGACTGGGTTACATGTAAGGAAAATGAAGAGCAAATAATGTAAAAGATAATCTTTTTTAGATCCAATAAATATCCTTTCTTGGTGTGCACCAAGATCTTTCTAGGATCTTCTATTTATTGTTCCTTTGTTCTTTTCAGCCATATGAAAGAATGAATGTAGCAGATGCCTTGCTGTCTAGGTCATTTACTGATGGAGAAGTCATCATTAAACAAGTAAGATTAAACATTATTCTCAAAAGAGAAGTGTATTTCAATCACTTCTGCTTAACATAGCATTTTATTTGCTGGTTTTGATGAAGGAAAACACAGGAAAAGTGTATTTCAATAAATTCTGCTTAACTCATTCACCCCTGAAGACAAATTTGAACTCTTCCAATTCAAAGGTTGGAATAGTTCATTATGAAATGTCAGTGGTAAATGAGTTAATATTGGATTGCATTTGCTGGTTTGGATGAAGTAAAACACAGGAAAAGAAATATAACACAATTGGGTGTAAATTCTGATTGCACTATTTTTAGCCCACCATCAGATTATGAACTGTTAAGCCTAAGGAACAAGAGGCCAACAGCCATGTATTACTCAGGGCAAATTACTGGGGTGCTGCTGAACCCAGTTGTCATGTTCAAAATCTGTCTTGACCAGTCCTGTAACAGACCATATATAATTCAAGTTGAATTATTAAGTCCCCCAAACTAAGTTTTTACTCCAATTCTTATTAAGTCACCCCGAACAAAGTCGGGTGACTTGTTGTTATTGTTCTGTTTCTTACTTATTAGCTCACCTAGAACGAAGGGCCAAGTGAGCTTATGGCATGGTGCGGCGTCCGTCCGGCGTCCGGCATCAATATTTTACTTTAAACAACTTCTTCTTAATAACCGCAAGGCCTAGGTTGATGATATTTGGCTACAACGAAATGGGATGAAGGGATACCAAGATTGTTCAAATAAATGACCTTCACTGATATTCAAGGTCAAAGGGGTCAAATATGTTAAAAACTTTAAACAACTTCTACTGAATAACCAAAATGCCCAGGGTGATGATATTTGGTCAGTAGCATGCTGGGAAGAAGGGCTACCAAGTTTGTTCAAATGAATGACCTTTACCCACTTTCAAGGTGACAGAGTTCAGATGTCTTTAAAGGGTACTGATATTGGGCCTGTAGCATGCTGGGATGAAGGACTACCAAGTTTGTTCAAATAAATTACCTTTACCAATTTTCGAGGTCACTGGGGTCAGATGTCTTAAAATCTTCAAACGACTTATTCTCAAAAACCAAAAGGCCCAGGGTACTGGTTTTGGGCCTGTACCATGCTGGGATGAAGGGCTACCAAGTTTGTTCAAATGAATGACATTGACCCACTTTCAAACTCACAGGGGTCAAATATGTTTAAATTTTCAAACAACTTCTTCCCAATAACCAAAAAGACCAGGGTACTGATATTGGGCCTGTAGCATCCTGACATAAAGGGCTACTAAGTTTGTTCAAATGAATGACCTTGACCCACTTTCAACCTAAAATCCTTGTTAGACATTCAAGGTCACAGGCGTCATATGCTTAAATCTTGTAATAGGTTCTTATGAATCAAACACTGATATTCTGCCTGTGGCTGTATTTTATTCCACTTTTAAGATTACAAGTGTAAGATTAATAACAGGTGGGCGATGCAGGCCCATTGGGTCTCTTGTTTAGTCACCCCAGACGAAGTCAGGGAGACTTATTGTTAGCTCACCTGGCCCAATTGGGGCAAGTGAGCTTATGGCATGGTGCAGCGTCCGTCGGCATCAACATTTTAGGTCACCTGAGCTTTGCTCAAGTGACCTATTCCAATCACTTTCCTTCCGTCGTCGTTCGTCGTGCGTCGTGCGTATATATATAAACCTTTTACATTATCAACTTCTTCTCAAGAACCAGTGAATGGAAATTTCTCAAACTTGGTCAGAATCATCCTTGGTAGATGAGGCTACCAAATTGTATTATTGGGATTCCTACCCCAACCCTAGGGGCCAGGGCAGGGCCCAAAAGGGAAAATTAGCCAATATTACAAAAATCTTCTTCTCCAGACTGAGAGGTATTACAGTCATGTTCTCTGCATGGATGGAAAGATCATCAGTGGCTTTATTTAAATTGTAAATTTCAGGACCCCCGAGCTATCCGTTCTCCCTTGGGGAGGGGGTAAAGTTTACTTTAGTTTATATAGGGAAACAACACTTTTGGGTATATTTCGACAATTTTCTGTTGGAAATTATTTTTACTTGGTGAGAATTATCCTTGAAGAAAGATGGTTTTAAATTGTAAAATTGGGATCCCTACCCCAACCCTAGGGGCCAGGGCGGGGCCCAAAAGGGAAATTTAACCAATTTTTCAAAAATCTTCTTCCCCAGACTCAGAATCCTATACTACAGTCATTTTCTCTGCATGGATGGAAATATCATCAGGGGCTTTATTTCAATTGTAAATTTCAGGACCCCGAGCTATCCGTTCTCCCTTGGAGAGGGGGTAAAGTTTACTAGAGTTTATATAGGGAAACAACACTTTTGGGTATATTTTGACAATTTTCTGTTGGAAATTTTTCTTACTTGGTGAGAATTATCCTTGAAGGAAGATGGTTTTAAATTGTAAAATTGGGATTCCTACCCCAACCTTAGGGGCCAGGGCGGGGCCCCAAAGGGAAATTTAACCAATTTTTAGCTCACCTGGCACGAAGTGCCAAGTGAGCTTATGCCGTGGCGCGGCGTCCGTCGTCCGTCCGTCTGTCCGTCCTCGTCCGTCAACTTCTCTTTTAAACAACTTCTTCTGAAGAACGGACAGTCCTAGAGTCATGATATTTGGCTGAAAGCTTCGTTGGTAGGAGCCCTACAAAGTTTGAGAATGAAAATTAGTTTGACCTACTTTCAAGGTCACAGGGGTCAAATATGTCAAAAACTTCAAACGACTTCTTCTGAAGAATTAAAAGGTATAGAATCTTCATATTTGGCTGATGGCTTCCTTGGATGGAGCCCAACAAAGTTTGAGAATGAAAAT